TTTTCGTTTGCTTTTTGAATAGTAACAATTTTATCAATAAGATTTTTTTTTTCACTTTCTTTTTCAGTCAAAATTAATTTTATTTGGGATTCATAATTTTCTTTTACGGATTCTAAATGTTCATTTTCGATATTATTTAATTTTTTAATTTCTTCATCTTTTTCATTTATTTTGTTATTGTATTCAGTTACGACTTTTTCACTGGTTAATTTTATATTTTCTAATTTCATACTTATATCATCAATAGTTTTATTCTTCTGTTCAATTATTTCGTTTAATTTTTTAATATCTGATTCTAATGTATTACTATATTCAGTTTTTTTTTTAAGTGAATCTTTTGAGTATTCTAAATTTTTTAATGTGTCTAACAGTTTTAAATTTTCAGATTTGATACTATCGAGTTGTTTATTTTTAATAACTAATTCATCATTTAGTTTAGTGTTATCAAAAGTTAATTTGGATTCTAAAGTTTGAATACTACTTTGTAAATTAGTAATAGATGTCTTATAATTTGAAATTTCATTGAGATATTTTTTTTCTAATTCTATGTGACTCAGAGATTCTTTTTCCTTTTCAATTAATGTCTGTTCAAGTTTATTTGTCAATTCTTTTACTTGATCATCAATTGAAGCCAACTTGGAGTTTTGAATAATTAAATCATCAATTTTATTTTTTAATTGCATAACTTGGTTTTTATGAGCTTCAAAGTCATTTTGTTTTGCTGATTTTAACTCATCTAAAGAAAATTCCAGATTTATTAATCTGTCTTGATTTTGCTTCAGTTCTTCATTTTTAATATGTATCGTTTTTGACATTTCACGAACATAATTCTCATGACTTTCTTGAAAAATATCCTTCTCTTTTTTTAAATTTGATAGTTCATCATTCAAATTTTTAATTTTAAAGGATAGCTCCTTTTCAAGTTCATTTTTGTTCAAACTTTGTTGAGAATCTAAATCATTATATTTTTTTTCTAACTCTACAACAAAGTTTGATTTTTCTTCTAAATGTTTGATAGTTAATTTTAATTCATTACTTAATTTATTATTCATATCATC